ACTGAATCATCATCAAGTCCTTAGAATTCTCTCTCCCAAAGTTGAAAAAAGTTCTCAAGTTTGTATAAAATGTTTAGTCAATATTTGCTAGAAATGCAGATTTTGAACAAGGCAATAATTACAAGACACAAGGATATTGTAGTGAAATTTAGAGGCTACATCCACAGCTGATGTGCTCTATTTCTTTTGCCGCCTCCATTTAAACCCCCATTCCTTTTTATTATTGGGCAAACACACTTTCTCAGATTTCCTGCTTATTTATCCTACTCTATTTCCTCTGTAATGGGGAGGTCTTTTCATATTAGAGTTCTTTATAATTTTGCATCTTAAGTGGACAAATATCCTTAGACCCCAAGGAAACTCCTTAGAAATTGAAAACAGTTATTCATATTGTTCCAAAGAGGAAACAAAAAGAATAAATGACGTTTAAAGTCAAGTCCCTGTGATAATAACAATAAACTTTTCTTTGCTCTTCATGTTCTCAAGCTTATATTTTCTCATCAATACTGATTTTTCTTATTTTCATTTTAACAAATAAACAAGCAAAAAAATCAGAAACAAACAGAAAACCTCTAAAAACAAACAGAAAGACACACACACACTTGCATACACATGTGCACGCACACACACACACACACACAAATAATGACTAAAATTGGTGAAATGAAAATTGTTTTGAGGTACAGACTCTGAAATATTCAATAATGAATATGATTACATTGAATCAGAAATCAAAATTACTGAAATTTATAGTCCATGTTAGCTACTTTAATTAACCTTTTTGCCTAAGAAATTTTATTTCTAAAAGACTCAGTGTTTTGTCTATAAATGAAAATGATGATTCCTGATATACCAATATCAGAATGTTTTAAAAATAAAATGTATTAACAAATATAAAAATATTTCATGAAATAGCTCTATAAAATTGACTGTGGCAATATTAAGGAAAATAGTTCACTAGTATTGGATGTTATAAATCTTAAGTCACAGTATTAACTGCAATCTCCCAGATATTTTAAAATCTAGTACTTTACAGTAATAAATGTAAGAAAACGTATCTTAGAGAATTTCAGAAACTTCTGGGCATCATTCATTGTTTGCATATATAAGGCCAAGTTTGTGTATATTTATTTAATTGAGACTTTTCATTCACAGGGCTAAATGCTTTACTGTTTTACCACATCTCAGGGGCTTCCTGTTGCAACAAATAAACTTATAGCTTGTAGGTGTATGCATAGCAGAGTGTTTAACTTTGTTGATTATAATGAAGTAAAATTTGACAACAGCGATGGTTTTACGAAGACATATTTTCTCCCTAAATTAACTTAGAACTACATTATGATCACAATAAATGTTAACAGGCTTTTTGTGTGTGAACTAGACAAAAGGTATTTAAAGTATATATGGAAAAAATAGCATATAAAATAAACAAAATCTTATAGAGGAGTATTTACTAAGAATTTACATTTCAACATGTCAGATAGGTATTTAAAATTTAATTAAAGCATTTCCTATCACCTTGTACTTTTAAGCAAATCATGAAATAGAATAGAGAGACATGAAATAACCCCAAATTCCTATGTGAACATAGTAGGTTAATGTCAAGTTATTTCAAATTGTGAGGGAATTAGAATGTGGTTATTTTAATACATGAGTTTCAGCCTTCTGGTTCATGATAGATGTATGAACAAAACAAACGAAATATAGATAGATGCCTATTTCACTTGTTATACAATATTAAATTACAGGTCAATAATAATTTAAAGTTAAAAATGAAACTAGAAGGCTATTGGAGGAATATGTAGGATAATTACATTTAATGTATATTTAGATTAAGGAGTGACTTTCTAAGCAGGGCCTGTAACTTGAAATCATATATATATATATATATATATATATATATATATTTTTTTTTTTTTTTTTTTTTTTGAGACGGATCTTGCTCTGTAGCCCGGCTGGAGTGCAGTGCGATCTCAGCTCACTGCAAGCTCCGCCTCCGGTTTAGCCATTCTCCTGCCTCAGCCTCCGAGTAGCTGGACTACAGGCCCCCACCTCGCTCGGCTAGTTTTTGTATTTTTAGTAGAGACGGGTTTCACGTGTTAGCAGGATGGTCTCGATCTCCTGACCTCGTGATCGCCGTCTCGACTCCCAAGTGCTGGATTACAGCTTGACCACCGCGAAATCATATTTTTTAAGCAAATAATTTAAGATGTCATAATTATGAATTTTCCAAGTAGAAACAAATTATTAAAATGACTCAGAAAAATATCTAAATCATCAATTTCGCAAAGACGTATTTTCTTAAAAATAAACAGATAAAATACCTAACATTCAACGGTGAAATGGACATGAACATATAGTTTATAGAAAAATAAAAAAATTTACTGATTAAAAATATAAAACTTTGCCAGTCATGATGGTTCATGACTGTAATCTGAACACTTTCAGAGGCTGAAACAGGAGGATTGGTTGAGTCCAGGACTTTGAGACCAGCCTGGGCAACATGATGAAACCCTATCACTATAAAAAAAATCACAAAAATTAGCCTGCTGTGGTAGTGTGTGCCTGTAGTCCTAGCTCCAGAGGAAGCTGAGGTAGAAGGATGACCTGAGCCTGGGAGGCTGAAGCTGCAGTGAGCTGTGATCATGCTACTGCACTCCAGCCTGGGTATCAGAATGAGACCCTGTCTCAAAAAAAAATTAAAAAGTCCATAAAAATTCTTCAACTCCACACACATTACACCACAAAACAGTAGTCACCAATCACAGCAATAATCATAAGGTTAGTAATATGCAATGTCCTAAGTTTATGGAGAAATGATTATTCAAAAAGTGTTGATAAAATACGTATCCACATTTAAAATACACCTTAATTTCAATCCCAAAATTCTACTGGTGTTGACTTATTCTACAGACAGGCTGTGTCTGTACAGAAAAAGTAAGATCATTTGGACTGCATGGAAGACAAAAAAATAAAGAATAGAGATGATGTCAATGAACATTATGTAATCGCAAAAGACAGATATTTTAAAAAATCCATTAATAGGTACCAATTGAATAATCCAAGATAACTTCATAAAATTAGACAAAATAATACATAGTTATTTTGATTCCTTTTGAAGTGTAAGGTGGATCAGTATCAATGATATGAATGATCTGCTAGCTATGTAGATCTAAAAGGAAGAGTGGAAGAGGGTATCTTTTTTCTAGTATATGCTCCCTTTCTGTAAAAGTATAAATTTATAAATGAATGCACGTTACTCTTCATATATGAAGTATATTTGTGGAAGAATATTTAAAACAAACTGTTAGCAGAGTTATTTTTGGGGAATAAGTTACCATAAATCTGAAGTAAGAGAGAAACATTTACTAATTATCTAATCTTTTGAATTGTCTGATGCATTTCCTTTTTAATAAAAGTAAATTGTCGATGGCTTCTTATGCTTAAGTAACAACTAAAAAATAAAAAAGGATATACAAAAACAAAACACATAATATATTTTAGTGTCTTAAAATAACTTAGTAGACACAGCCCCTTTTTTTCGAAAGAGTATATTTCCCATAGTTTAAAGGAAGAACACACTAATCAAATCAGGAAAGCCCAGGCCTTTCATATTTGGCCTTTCGTACTATTGGTATTTATAAGCTCAAGCCAAACTTTATGGCAATTTATTTACAGAGAAATATAAGAACTCTGCTAGAATATAAGGATTCTGAATAGCAAATGCTCCTCTCCTAGATCCAGGATTAATTTCTTCTGTGATTTCAACTTTCATCCTTTACATTTTTATTTTAGTAAATTTTATGATATGTTGTCAATAGTGTTAGCATAACAGTTTAAGGTTTACTCTATTTATTTACATATAAGTGTCTCTCTTTATATATCACACGTAGGAAATGGAAAAGTAATTTTCTCTCTGAATTTTATATACTGCTCTCTGTTTGCGAAAATGACTTGCCCTCTTCATAGCACAGAATTTAGACTAGATCTGTTATCATTCACCATGCATAATGTATTCTTTCCCGTCTCCATGCTATTTCTCCCGACTACAAGTGTTCAGACTTGTAATTAGTCAATCTTCTTCTTTTTTCTTCAATGGTATGGAGCCTTTATAAAGTTAATTAAAATATCTTAATAAGAAATCTCCTCGTTTATCTTTTTTGTTTGTGAACTCTGTATAGCTTTATGTCTTTCTTGATATTATTTCCAAAGTCATATTCATCTTTTCAAATATACTGTAATTATCTTGAGAGCAAAAGCAAGTTTTTCTATTTAATTTACTTCACATGCCATTTAGTAAAATACTTTACCATTACGCTTTTAACAAAATTTTAAACACTTTTATTATATAATAAGGTAAGATTTGTAAGAATGTCATCACTGTCAAATTATTTTTTCATACCACTAAAATTACAAGTGATTATGAGGGAAGAGAGAGACCTTCTTATATTGTTTTATATTGTTTTATACTCAGAAAAGGAAAGAGAAGCGAAACTAAAGGCAGGTAGACCGGCATCTGTGAACCAGATCAGGAACTAGGCTTGGGCCTGCCTGATCTAAGCCTTGTAGTTAAAGATCCACCCCTGACATAACCGGTTACGTTATCTATAGATTCCAGACATTGTATGGAAGGACAGTATGAAACCTTCCGTTCTGTTCTGTTTCATTCTGACCACAGGTGCTCACAGCCCCAGGCACATACCCCCCAGCTTGCTCAGTCGATCATGACCCCCTCACGCGCATCCCCTTTGAGTTGTGAGCCCTTAAAAGGGACAGAAGTTAAGCATCTGACGAGCTCGGATTTTAAGACGCTAGCCTGCCCATGCTCCCAGCTGATTAAAGCCATTCCCTGCGCTATCTTGGTGTCTGAGGGGTTTTGTCTGAGGCTTGTTCTGCTACGATAAGACATTCTCACTGGTCAAATATGCATAGTAGAGTGCAGGACAATTCACTAGGTAGCCTTGCACCAACTCAGTTCTCCTCTCTTTTCTTGTTTGCAGTACTCAAGAAATTGTAGAATGTGCCGGAATGCAAAATCCTGAGATGGGCTGTACTGGTGAGAACGACCTGGGATCTATTCTTCTTTCCCTTAGAAGCAGAATGTACCTCCAGGCTTTAACAGCATGTCGTGTTGTCCCTGATGTATGTTACCCTTGGGTCTGCCCTTCATGATCCCTCAGCTGCAGTGCAAGTGGGGCACTCACAGTCAAGACTCCAACCACATTAAGCTGCTTTCCTCAACCTTGGGAGAGCAGGTCACAATAAATCCTAAGCCTCCGTTGTCCTTTGCTGTCTAGTTATAAGTAATACATCCACTTTGTGTAATTTGTGTGCATTGGTGTTGTGTCTCACCAGACTCACACAAGTTTGTAATCAGTGCATAGTGAATCTACTTCATATATAAATAAACTATTTAAAATAAATTTATAATAACTCTTGCATAATAAAGTATAATTTACTTTTTCATGTATTTTCCTCCATTCTTTTTTCTATAAACATTTTAATGTATTTATAGTCATAATCTATATTTACTTGTATGTTTCTTTTACTTTACTAACAACTTCAACATATGCTTTACTAGTTTACTTTAAAAAAGTCATAGAGGAATAATATTTGCATAACATTTTATTACTTACAGTATCTTACATCTATTAAAGCAAACATGTGTGTGCATGTTGGGCATTTAGGTTGGCCTCATTGTTTCCATGTCAATCTAGATTTTGTATAAAGGTACATTCAATGAAGTTTTTTGATACATGGGGGTCTCTATAGACTAGATTTCAAACAGTGATAACAGTTGATCAAAATCGGTTACTTTCAAGATTATGAAACATTGGAACACACAATTGTTAATATGTGTGTTTCGAAAATCTCTATTGTATCTGTTTTTCTAAGAAATTACTGTTTACTTTCAGCAGTTTTTGACACTAAAACGTATTTTGTGTACTACACATCTCGAGATGAATTGGTGCCCCTAAAAAAGCAAAAGATGCCAGGGACAAGAGGAAAATTGTGAATATTAATTGTAAATAATGATTTTAAAAAGCATATCTGGCTTAGAAGTAAAGATATTTTAATGAGCAGTTAAGATGCTATGTGAATGATAGTAGGTGAATGATCATAGCCTGAGTGGAATACTGAGAGAAGAGTTCCAAGACCTCAGCACAACCCACCATGCTCTCCCTCTGCCACCCAAGTCAGCATATGTGCTTGTGTTGATCATTGGAGAATTTGTGGGCAAGCTGGCTCTTACTCCTCAGTGCCACCTACTGGACAAAAAATTGGTCGGGCAATTGTGTAACTGCTGGGGAATGAGATAAGCTTCCCGAGACCTCCATACTTGAAGCCCCACAGAAGAGAGTGAACCAACTCACATGCTCAGTACATTGCTACAATAATCCGCATTAGAGAAGGAAACTGTCCTAAAGCTACCTATAACCAAGGAACTCATATATTACCTTGGCACTCTAAAGTCACCGAGAATTGAAGCCAAATGATCATACACAGTAGACGTTACAGTCACACCCCCAAGGGGGGGAATTATCTCATCCAAGAAAATAAATTTAAAAATAACAAATGGCAGGTTTTCTAGATGATTAGGATCAATGCAATAACTCTAACAGTACAAAACCCCAAAATATCTCAACACCCCAAAGATCACAGTAGCTCTCTAGCAATAAATCCTAACCAAAATGAAAATTCTGAAATGACAGACAAATAAGTCAAAATATGGATTGTAAGAAAGCTCAATGAAATCAAAGATAAAGTTGAACACCAACAGAAAGAAACCAGGAAAACAATTCAGGATATAAATGAAAAAAATTGCTTAAGAGATGGATATTTAAAAAAATACAGAACTTCTAGGAATAAAAAATTCATTGAAGGAATCACAAAATGTGAAAGCTTTAACAGTAGGCTAAATCAAGCAGAAGAAAGAATTTTAGATATTGAAGACCAGTCCTTAAAATTAACCTAGTCAGGCAAAAATAAATAAATAAATAAATAAATAAATAAATAAATAACAAAGCCCTCAAGAAATATGGGATTATGTAAAGTGGCCAGACATATTAATTACACATTCTTGAGGAAGAAGGAGACATAAAATATTAGAAAATGTATTTTACACAACAATTCAGGAAAAGTTCCCTGTTTAGAGAGAGAATTAGACATTCAGACACTAGAAGCTTCAAAGACCACCTGGCAGATTGTCTGCAAGACTAACCTCATCAAAGCATATAGCCATCAGTTTATCCAACATCAAAGAGAAGGAAAAAATCCTAAAAGTATCTGGAGAAAAATGTCTAATCATTTATAAAGGAAGTTCCATCAGACTTACAGCCTAGACTGTAAGTAGGTATGTTACAAGTCAGAAGAGATTGCCATACTATCTTCAGCCTTCTTAAACAAAAAACATGCCAGCCAATGATTTCATATCTGGGCAAACTAAGCTTTATAGAGGAAGAAGAAACTAAATCATTCCCAGAGAAGCAAAAGCTAAAGAAATGTGTCACCACTAGGCTAATCCTACAAGAAATGCACAAAGGAATTTTAAATGTGGAAATGGAAAGGTGATATTTGCCATTATAAAAGTACACGTTAGTTCAAAGCTCACAAATCCTATAAAGCAATTACACAATTGAGACTACAAAGCAACTAGGTAGCAGCATTATAACAGGAACAAAAGTTCAAATATCAATGTTAACCTTGAACGTTAATGGCCCAAATGCTTCACTTAAAACATACGGACAGGCAAATTGGGTTAAGAAAACAAACAAACAAGCAAAACATGTTCTAAACATTTGTTGGCTATAGGAGACTCACCTAATGGTTAAAGACACCTACAGATTCAAAGTAAAGGGGTGGAAAAAGGTACACTACACGATGGAAAACAAAAATTTATATCAGATAAAACAGACTTTAAATCAATAATAGTAAAATTTAGACAAAGAAGGTCATTATGTAATGATAAAGTGTTCAATTCAATAAGAAAATATAACTGTCCTCAATATATATGCACCCAGACTTATAAAACAAACACTTCTAGACTTGAGAAAAGAGAAACAGTAATAAAATAATAGTGAGGAACTTCAACACCATACCGGTAGCACTAGACATCATTGAAGCAGAAAATCAACAAAGAATCTCTGGATTTAAACTGGAATCTAGACCAAACAGACCTAATAGACATTTACAGATATCTATCAAACACTTGCAGAATATACACTTTTCTCATCTGCACATGGAACATTCTTCAAAATAGACCATATGCTTGGCCATAAATTAAGTCTCAGTGAAGTTAAAAAGAATTAAAATAATATCAAATATCTTTCAGACCAAAGTGGCATAAAATTAGAAATCAATACTAAGAGGAGCTTTCAAAACTTTACTAATACATGGAAACTAAACAACTTGATCCTGGATGATCTTTGGAGAAACAGAAATTAAGGCAGAAACAAAATCAAAACAAGAAAAATGGAGATGAAACATTTCAAAATTGTGGGATACAGCCAAAGAAGTGCTAAGAGAAAAAAGTTTAAAGAATTAAATGTCTAAATTAAACAGATGGAAAGATCTCAAATTAACAACCTAACATTACATCTCAGGAAACTGGAAAAACAAGAACAAACCAAACCCAAAGCTAATAGGAGATAAGAAATAACAAATATCTGAGTAGAAGTAAATGAGAATGAAACCACAATAAAAATGATACAAAGGATCAGTGAAGCAAAAAGTTGACTCTGTGAAAACATAAACAAAATTGATAGAGTGATAGCTAGATCAACCAAGAAAAAATAGAGGATATGTAAATAAACAAAATCAGAAAGGATAAAGATGGTGTTATAACCAATACCACAGAAATACCAAAGATCATCAGAGATTATCATGAGATTATCTAGTTATGTGCAGAAACTAGAAGATCTAGAGAAAATGGAAAATTCCTGGAGACATACACCTTTCCAAGATTGAACCAGGAGGCAACTGAAATCTTGACCAGACCAATAGCAAGGAATGAAATTGAATAAGTTCTTTTATAAAAATCTCCCAAGCATAAAAAGCCCAGGACCTGATGGATTCACAGGCAAATGCCACTATACACACAAAGGAGAGCTGGTACAAATCTTTCTGAAATCATTCCAAAAAACTGAGGAGAAGAGATTTCTATACAACTCATTCTACAAAATCAATTCATCATGATGCCAAAATTAGTCAAGGACACAACAACAAAATAAAACTATAGGGTTGTATTTCTGATTAACATAGGTACAAATGTCCTCAACAAAATACTAGCAAACTAAAATCAATAGCACATCAAAAATATAATGCATCATGATCAAATGGGGTTTATTCCAGAAATGCAAGGATGAGTTAACATACATGAATCAATAAGTGTGATTCACCACTTAAACGTAACTTAAAATAAAAACTATGTGGTTATCTCAATGCAGAAAAAGCATTCAATAAAATCCAATATTTCTTCATGATAAAATGCTCAACAAATTAGATGTTGAGGAACATACCTCAAAATAATAAAAGGTGTATAGAGCACACTCACAGCCAACATCAGATTGGATATAGAAAAGTTGAACGCCTTTTGCCTAAGAACTGGAACAATACAAGAATGCCCAGTCTTATCAGTCTTGTTCAACTTAGTGCTGGAAATCCTAACCGAGTAACCAGGTAGGAAAAACAAATGCAGGGCATCCAAATTAGAAAAGAGGAAGTCAAATTTTCTTTATTCCCTGATTACATGATCTTATACCTAGAAAATCGTAAGACGTCTCTGAAAAGCTACTAGATTTGACAAATGACTTCATTACGGTTTAAGGATGCAAAATCAACATAAACAATCAGTAGAATTTCTATACACCAATAACACTTAAGCTGAGAATTAACTCAAAAATACAATCACATTGACAATAGCTACAAAAAAATTAAACTACCTAGGAATATATTTAACCAAGGAGTTGAAAAATCTGTACAAGAACTACAAAACACTGATGAAATAAATCAGATATGACACAATGAAATGGAAAAATATTCCATGCTCATTGATTAAAATAATCAATATTGTTAAAATAACCACACTACCCAAAGCAATATATAGGTTCAATGCAATTTCTATAAATTTTCCAATATTATTTTTCACAGATTTAGAAAAAAAAAATCCTAAGATTAATAAGGAACCAAAAGAGAGCCATAATAGTCAAAGCAATCCTAAGCAAAAATAACAAAGCTGGAGGCATCACATTACTTGACCTCAAATTACGCTACAAGGCAATAGTAATCAAAATAGCATAGTGCTTGTACAAAGTAGACACATAGATCAATCAAACAGAATAGAGAACCCAGAAATAATATCACATACCTACAACCAACCAATCTTTGATAAAGTCAGCAAAAATATATAATGAGGAAAGAACACCCTCTTTTAAAATGATGCTGGAAAAATTGGTTAGCCCTATACA